TATTCTTGCAAGCTCCCCGATGTTAGTTCAGGATCGATTCGTCCATTCACGGATTCTTGGATACCCGTGTGGAAACGTTAAAAAGAATCGAAAGCAGCCGGGTTCTGTGTAAAAGCAGTGAGCTTGTAGGTATGGTTCGCAACTACCACTGTGTGTGCCTGTGCTTGTGGATGTTAGGAAGGGAAGTTGCTTGCTGGAGACAGCGGAAGAAAAATAGCGGAAGTCATCGACCTCCGAGGGGCTATATATCAGAGGGTCGCTCGGAGGACGGGAAAGAGAAGAAAGAGGAGGTGAAGGAAGAGGAGGAGGAGGAGGAGGAGGAGGTGGAGGTGACCACCATACTGGCTTTGTGTTGGTACACTCTTTTGTATGAGCCACGTGTATGTATGTATGTGATAAGATGAAAGAGTAAAGAGAAACGGACTTTTCGAAGTGAGTTTGAAAAAGAAAAAGAAAGGAAAGAAAGAGAGGTGGAACAATATGGTAAGAGAATACTGGTTCTGAATCTAGGATAGTAGTTCGAACGTTCCATCATTCGCAGAGAACGTTCAATGAGAATCGTAGAAAAATGTGCTCGTTTAGCAGAGAGAGAGATAGAGATAGATAGATGAATAGATAGATAGAGACAGAACAGGAGAGACTAGGCAGCAGGCGGGCGAATGAGTTATTAGATCCGGCGTATCCGGTATTGCGTCGCGGATGACCAATAGTTTCATCGAGGGATTGTTGAAGGTTCCGGACCACATTTCCGGTTTCCGTTCGACGAATCGTCCTTTCCCCTTTCTCTTCTTCTTCTCCTTCTTCCTTCCTTCGATGGAACATAGTTAACACTCGAGTGACCCATCTCCTTTCTCTCTGCTTTCCAAATTCTCTGAAGGAGTTTGCAAAAAAAAATATAATCTTACCAGCTGGGCGAGATCTTTATTTTTATTGTTTGGTAAAGTAAAGTAGCATCAAGCAAGGCACTTAATTAAGTCGGCAAATTTTGGGCAAGCCGACGAAGTCGACACTCGGTACTTCCTTTAAATCTTGCTAGAAGTTCGTTAGAGGTGCTCTCGGTTGGCACGGTGAACTCTGGAAACTGATGGTTGTTACTTAGACTGCTCATATCTATCACGCTTCTCTTCTCTCTCGTACGCATACACCTACAAACATATATATACAGAGACACACAGATACGGTTCTCCGTCGCGGTTTTAGCACCGTTCCCCCGTGAAAGCTAGGAAACTCCTGTAACGTTAGGTAGTAGTAGTAGGTGTACCTCCAACCGGCAAGAAGGAACTCCGTCCGAGCGAACTATCGTGGAAACTCTCCTACCTCGAAAACTCCCCCACGAACACACTCGGCTCTGTCGCCGGCAACTAACTTTCCGAGAGAGTAGCACGTCTCTCTCTCTCTTTCTCTCCCTCTCTCTTGCGTTTTGTTTGTCTATTTCGGTTACTCTTAGAAGGAATCCTAGGTCGTCTCGAATCCGGTAGCACAGGCAGAAACACCGAGTCTCCGTCGCGTTACCTTCGAGTACTGAAGGCAGCTATCTCCTTAAACACAGCTCCAACAGGCACCTACGGACACATCCAGTCTGGCCACAAGCGTAACTTACTACTAATGCCATTCTCGTGTTCTTCCAGACGCACCCTACTTGTATTCCAAATTTCTCACGTCCTCTATGATTTTCAAGGCTCGTTTCTAACTTATCTTCTCTAAACGTGGTTAGAATTCAACGAGATTCTCGTTACGATAGTTAGCACGTTCAAATTTCAACGAGAAATTAATCAAACGTGCATTACCGATTATGATCTTAAGGAAATCTTTACTCCCTACCCTCCCTCCTCTCTTCCTTTTCAAAGTAACGAGGAAATACTTTCAAGTAGATTTGAGTACAATTAACGACTCGCTGCTCGTTTAACCACCATCACTGGTTTTGTTCAGGGAGCTACCTAAATAAATTATCGTCCCACGTATAAGGGGTAAAGTAAACTTACACGTTCAAGGAATTTTCTGACCGAGTAGAAATGGGGAGGAATGTGGATAAGCTTTTGTAGATTTACGTGGTGTCGAAATAGCAAGCAGCAATACCCAAAGACCTGACTCTCGGTCAGGGACCTTTATTGCATTACACAACCTGTAGTGTTTTTCCTATCTCCTCGTGGTCTCGTTATACCAGGATTTAACCTCATCGAATTGACCCCACTTTGGCTTAACTTTTCTTACAAGGAAATCATCTAAACTAATTCCCAGAATGACTCTGAGGATATACATCGATCTTAACGATTGTCAATATGATGTAAATTAAAATCAAAATCAAAGAAAAACTTATGTTCCACGAACGTGGCAAACGTCAACTTGTAATAACAGGTAAAAGGGATAAATAATTAAAAGCTGAATTTAATCATGCAAGACGGATATCCACGGTTTACGTATTTACGCTCGTTTTATTTCCTTAATTTGATTCGTGTAAATCAAGTCCAACTGGGTGATCAAAGAAAACACGGCTTAGCAAAATATCAGCCAGCAATAAGATTGACATATTTATAATACATCGTCTTACAGCGATACGCTTTTAATGTAACCAAGAGTAACCAAGCTTAGCAATCTCACGGACGTGTATGTATCTAGTTCTCGATCTTCGATCAGTCGTTTATTTCATTAAATTTCTTTAACCGAGAGTCTTGAAAGCAAAGTCGGATGAAAATTTTCGTAATTACTGTCTGACTCACGATAATCTTCGGTCGTTTAGTCTGAATGATATCAAAGAAATCAAAGCGATCGATTCCTCGAAGGTTGTATAAGTCGAAAGATAATCTGCTTTTCTCTTTCCCATACTCGACGAACAACAAATTAAAAAAAAAAAAAAGAAAAAAAAATACTTATGAGAGTCTAGTATAAAGAATTCTTGGTATAATATGCAGAAAATAATCATCCCGATCCAATCAAAGATAAACGTGCCGGTTCAGAAAGAAATAAATAAAAAAAAGGGTTAGAAAGAAATAGAAGATACCCTAACGATGCGATTTACACGTTGAGAAAGAGACGAGTTCGCGCGAGTCGTTTTGGTTCACTGCGAGGAATCTACTGCTGCAGATTTAGCCTTCTCCTTTCTCTTCCAAGCTAAGAAAGAGAAAGAGAGAAGAGAGAAAGAGCAAGAGCAAGAGCTATTCCTTAATTTCCCATATTGTGGTCCGTTCGAGCTATCCTAAGGCACCCCGCTGTGTTATAGCGCGGTTTAATCACACTACAAGCGCGCATCCCTCGTTAGTGGAATATCCGTAGCCATGGTGGCTATAATATGAGACTACATTCCTGGGCCTTGAGAAGACTCAACCACCGCGAAAGAGTAAAGAGAGGGAAAGGGCTGGCAAATACATGTCGACGACGACGAGAATGAGAAGGACTCTCTCAAACCACTCTAAAACCTTCGCCAATGCATTTGGTAGCTTTGCATGGAATGTTCATCTTCAATGTTAGAATCGTGTACTGCAACATGTGCATTTTTCGGTTATATAAAGCAAGACTATTATCTCGTATCTCTTTTTTTTTACTTATTGCAATCGAAGTTTCAGATGATAGAATGTTTGATGTGCGAGATTGTATTATAAACGATAAAGAAATTGGATAGAAAAAGGAAAGAGTTGGTGCTGCTGCTGCTTCGTGGATTGCATTTGATAAACGTTCTTGAAATAAGAATAATAAGAAGTAGAGATAGAAGAAGGTGGTTTATAGAAAGGGAGAGCGGTGGGAGGTAGGAAAACGAGCTCTCGCAATAATTGTGATTTACGGCTAGGTCTTGGGTAAAGTAAAACGCCGCTGTGAGTTTAGTTTGAAACGGTGCACTGGTATACTCTCTTCTTTCTTTCTTTACGTGTAAAAAAGTCGGTCGCAAATAGTAGAAAAGAAAAAGATAAAAACATTGTTGCTAGGGTTTGAGTTAGAGGAGGAACATTGAGAGAAGGACGGTTGAAGCATGGAAAGGGTAAAATCGTGGATTTCCTGGCTTTTGACAAATTGCTGATGGAAAGTTCAGCGAGCCGTGGGAAACTGCGGAATCAGCTATATCAACCTATGCGAGTAGTTAGATACTTGGGATATGTTGTCTCGTTTTACCTTTAACTATAGGGCAACTTCCATTTTCGAAGATCTTTCTTTTCTTTTCTTTTTTTTCTTTTCCTATCGTCCGTCTTCATACTCTCCTCTCAGCAAGTCCCGTTCGTATTGGTACGAAGGGTGGTAGGGCGCAATCAGTGTCCTTGATTTATCGTGGCAATATACATTAAGATACCGACATTAAAACTAGGGGAGTCTCCCGTGGATTCCCGTCTCTCCATTACAGCTTAGAAAAGAGATAGACAGAGAAAGAAAGAAAGAATGAAAGAAAGAGAGAGTGAGAGGAATTGTCCTCACTTTGAGCTAAACCGTTCGATGCAGAAAGAAGATTGAAATTCTCGACCTACCATCGATCCATTCTGCATTCCACTAACGTAAATCTTCTTATTTTCATTACTCCTCGTGTGGCCATGAATATCAACAAAATTATTCTTCTTTTGTTTCTTTTTATTTTGTTACGAGTATCTCGGTACCATGCAGTTAATGAGCATCCTTGTAAAACAACTATTTATTGGAAATAATAAATATTTAAATATTTTGTATCTTTTCAATGCATATTGTACATAACCCATTCACGTGTTCAACACATACACACGCATACACTCATACATGCATACAGACATTGAAGAGGAAGTTGAACGATGTCGCAATTCATTTCAATTTGACATATTAATTTAACATTTCATAGGAATAAGGCGACATTGTTGAATGAGGACACAGCTCGGCGATTCCTCGGCGTCCACTGTTCTCATATCAAAATAAAAAATAAGATAAAAAAATGAGAGAAGAGTGGTACACCGATTGAAGAGGAGTTTCCGAGCTTGTCCAGTAGCAGCCTGCCAATTACGGAACAGAGATCTAACCATAGTAACGTGTAGTGTTTCCACCATTGTCCGCAGGTCCTAGCGGGGCGTACAGTCCGGACGCGACGATGGGTTATATGATGGACGGACAGGCGGCTAGCATGATGCACCGGCCGCCGGGTGATCCCGCCTTCCACAACCAGTACCATTACCCGCCCGAGTACTATGGACATCACTTATAAAGGTACGTCATTCGAGAACTTCGGTCGGACTTTACTTCTAATGGCTTCCCTTTCTAAGTGAGATCAATGTCGTTTGCTCTTACTTCTATCATGGCTTTACTCATCCTGAAAGACATTGACGTTCAAAATTATCCCTGATTTTGGATCTACCTCTTTTTATTTACACAAAGATATATATATATATCGGGTTTTCTGAAAAGTTTGTGTCAATTTTATAATCGTTAGGAGACAGTATGTTATTTATTATTATTTTAAAATAAGATGGAATTTTTTATTTTTATCATATTAATATTTAAAAAAATAAATTAATTTATATAATATAATTTATTAATATAGTAAAATAATTTTTATAAAAATAAGATATTTTTTTAACCTATTGGCAATGGAACGATATTTGATGTGACTCTAATATTTTATTTTATAAAATATGTTATGAAATTTTAATTTTATAATTTTTATTATATATTATTATATAAAAATAATAAGATACTGTTTTTTAATCTATTGGCAACCGAACGATATTCAATGTGACTTTATAATAAATTTTATTATACTTAATTTGCTACAACTGAACATTTATATTAACTTTGAAACAGTAATGTGGAATATTTAAATTGCTAAACATTGTTTAATGAAATCGATATAAAATTGGCACACATTTTATGATCAACCTAATAAAACAATCATTGATTCAATCAAACATTTCAATATTTAATAAATCAATTATTTTTCATTTGTTTCAGTAGCAGTAACGTATCCAGATAAAAACGATGGAATGACGGTTCTTGCGGATTGGAAAACGTAGAATTGCGTTGAGACCACCGTGCTCCAGCCGGCGAAACCCCGTGAGTTACGGAAGGACGAACGCGAAGGAATAAAAAGAAAGTACGAAGGAGATGATAATCTGCCCAAAAAAAGGAATATATCGATGATCCCTTCCTTCAAAAAAAAAAAAGGTAGAAGGTGTAACTCGGATCGTTGATGATAAAAGGAAGAAAAGGATATCAAAAATGGAGCTGAGAAGGTCTTAGGTGGAAAAGAAGACGGAAAGAAGAAAGAAGAAAGAAGAAAGAAGAAAGAAGAAAGAAGAAAGAAGATGAAAACCGTCTTGAGTTGGTGTAAGAAATGAACGATTCGATTGAAGAATAAATGCACCACAAAAATGTGCTACGAAAAGAAGAAAGAAGAAAGAAGAGACGAAAATGAAGGAACGGTGGATAGTACGCGGTCAACGCTTGGCAAGGAGAACATGAAAATGAAGATTTAAAAAAATGAAGAGTAAAAAGAAGATAAAGAAAATGACCGCGAGGGAATTCATGTGATTGTTCTTTGTACAAATGTCGCGGTGTATTATTGTAGTGAATGAAGAATTTAAATGTTAAATTTTAATACCGATCGCAATCGAGATATAATTAAATATGAGAACGAGTATAACGCGGTGATATATAGGCAATTTAGCGGACATGTACATTAAACGAGGAGAGAATAAAAAAAGCGATGCAAGTAAGAGAGAGAGAGAGAGAGAGTAAGATAGAAAGAGATAAAAAAAGTAAGGAAATGAAAAGTCAAAGAGAAAGAGTAAGACAGGACATTATTAAGAGAACCAAGAAAGAATAAAACTCTCACAACAAGCTCGCTTAGGAAAAAAGGATTGAAAAAAAAGGTTTAGCGTGATAAAGAAGAAGAATACGAAGAAGTTAGGAAAAATACGAGTGCACCCGTGTATGTATACATGAACTAGAGTGGGAGAAATGTCCCGAGAACATATGTTTTTCGAGTATATATGTATACTTACATAGATATGTATGTAAATATATATATATATACATATATATCTATATATGAATATAAAAGAAAAAGAAAAATGGAATTTTAGAAGAAAAATAATAAATAACACGCGGTGCGCTGTGTTTAACGAATATAATAAACTATATTAAGGATATAAGAGAAAAGAAATGAAAAGAAAAAATAATACCGAGAGATGATAGGATGAGAAACATAGACCGAGAATGATCGAAACGCGTGTGCCGGACTCGAGCGTCGATCGTTTATTTGCATATATATATAGGAGACATTTAAATTTGTACAGTTATTATAATTATAAATGAAATTTAATGATTAAATGAAGAATTATGTATGTGTATATATAATTCTTACATATATATATATATATATATTTACATGAACAGATTACGCGAGAACCACGGTTGTAAAATACTGTAAACGAGCGTCGCGATCAAGACTTGGACGATGATCGTGTTTGCCGGTGCGCGTATCGTAGGGGTTAAAAAAAAAAGAGAAAAAGAAAAAAACAAGCAGAAAATGTGAGTGAGAAAAAGAGTGAGAGAGAAAGGGAGAAGGAGAGATGCAAGAGGGATGATAGTAATAACGAAAGTTTAAGGGTATGAAAAAAAGGCACCCTGGGTTTTCCTCTCCTCTCTCCTCTTCTTCTTCCTCATTCTCCTACTTTTTTTCACCTCCTCTTTTCACTGACGCGTACCTGCGCTCGTACGCAAGCGTAAGCACACACACACACCCCACACATTTACACGTTCATATACACATTAAAATACAATACATACGGTGAAATAGTGACACAGATACACACGCAAAACACCTGTCCTGTCGTTCTAAGGATTATTAACAACAAAAGGTACACGATTACAGTTTATTATAATATATTGTGTATAAATAGTTAATTGAAATTTGCGAATCGAAGTGAGTTTGTAGTAAGGGACAAAAAAAGAATAAATCTGTCGGGTATAATAATAATAATAATTATAATATTAATAATAATTCATTCGATTGAGGGGCTTTAGCCGTCCGAAGGACAGACGGAAAATATGAACGAGCTTACGAGAGAAAGAAAGAGAGAGAGAGAGAGAGTAAGAAAGATTAGAAAATGTTTAATAAAAAAAAGAGAAAATACGGAGAAGGAAAGATAAAATAAAGATAGAAAGTATGTACACGAAAATGAAATAGTTTTCTTTTTTTTTTCACGCGTGTTAAAAAAAAAAACCGTCTCGAATGTTTCATCATCAACAACAACAACAAAAATTAACACGCGTAGGATTTCTTTCGACATTTTTTCCATGCGATTCTCTCTCGAGTGTTTTTCAAATGAACGAAATCGATATAGTTGGTTAGTTCGCAATGTTCGCGAATAGAATTTACATGAATGAAAAATAAACGAGGAAGGAAAGAAAATAAAAATGTGAAAGAAATAAGAACACAGTAAATGAACGAAGACATTTTCTCACGCTTGGCAAAAATACACCACCCACCACTACCCCCATACCTTCCTCTGGTTATCATTGTTTTTTTTTTTATTTCTTCTATCTAAAAACGAACACGCTACATTGCTATTCCTGACATTTCTCACCCATTCTTCTTATTTTTTATCATTGTGTTTCATTCGAAGATAAGAAAAGGATAAAATGAAATTACGAGAAAAAATTTTGTTAAAATCCAACCCTTCTAGCACTGTGAGAGAGTCAACCTCTTGACCAACCTCTTCTTTTTCTTCTCTTTTCCATCATCCTCCCTCTCATCCTCCTCCTCATCCTCTCCTCATCCAATCGTCGTCTTGATTTACATGAAAAAATATGACTCACGGTTAACTTTGTGGTTTGAAAATCATAAACAAATGTAGTACAGACCGAATGGACACAACAAATTCAAACGAAAGAGTATACGTTTATTAATTAAAGTGAAAAATACTAGAAATAAATATAAAAAAGAATTAACAAAAAAAAAAAAAAAGAATCGAGAGAGAGAACGCATCGTACAATCTCACACGCATAAAACCAACACCCAAACACATATTCACACAAACATAACACTAGACAAAAAAAAATACTTTCCTAGAATGCCTGTATTTATCTCTTCCAATCGCTTGGTCTCTTGATAACGACGATCGGAGATGTCTATATTTATGTACGAATCTTATTCTCGCGCGCGCGCATCCTTGATATACGTAAAAAAAAATTAAAATAAAATAAAATAAAAAAATAAAAATAAAATAAAATAAAATGAAAATGCATAAGAACTCGAAACGAACGATGATTGTAGGAAAGAAATTCAAGTTTAAAAAATTAAACGAGAAAGTAACAAAATACACACAGTTGTAAAAAAATAATTTAAAAAAAATACACACAGTCCTTAAAAATAAAAAATAAAAAAAATAAAAACAGGCAATTCGCTTATTATCATCGGAACAAAATAAAAAAAGGAAAAAAAAAGTGTTTTGTGAAAAAGAAGAAATTTGTTCTTCGAGGAACATCTTTAATCGACGATACGTTTATTGTCATGTATACGAAAAGACCCAATAGTTAATGAAAACTGAACTAAATAAAATACAAATAAAAATAAAGTGCGAGATAGAGACAGTGATGGAAAGAGAAATAAAGAGGGAGAGAGAGAAAAAGAGAAAGAGAAGATAGAAAGAAGAGAAAAGAAATTTTTTAATTAAATCAACCGTTCGAGATCATCATGCGAAATATATATCGAAGCGACACGGTAAAGGATGCGTGTTTTTTTTCTTGGTTCTCTCTTTCCTATCTCTTTCCTTCTTTCTCTCTCTCTCTCTCTCTCTCTCTGTCTCTCTCTGTTTTTGTTTCTCTCTCTTTCATTTTCTCTTTTTTTATCTAACGCGAATTTTCACTTGAACGATCGAACGATGGCGATGTTCTATGCGACTCGTACCGAATCGTCCAAAGCTATCGATCGTGTTTGTCCGAATCGAGAGAGAAAGAGAGATAAAAAAAAACAGAGAGAGAGAGAGGAGAGAGGAAAGAGGAGAGAGAACCAAGAGGGAAAGGGTAAAACGAAGAGACGGAGAATACGAGAAAGAGAGAGAAAAACAAAACAAGTCTAACAAAACTAAAGTTTTTCTGATATTTTCAATACGTTTACTTATACATACACGTACACCAATACAAACACACACGTGTTCACATGTAAATCTAACAGAAAAAGAAAACGAAAGAGAGAGAATGAAAATAAAATTAAAATTAAAATAATAAAATGAAAAATAATTTCTCTCTTTCTCTTTCTCTCTCTCTCTCTCTCTCTTTGTTGCTCTCTCTCCCTTTCTCATTTTTTCTCTTCGAAGCTTCTTTTTCTTTCTGTCTGTCCGTCTGTCTGTCTGTCTATCTGTCTGTCTCTGAAAATGAAAGATAACAAAGATAATATGGTCCTTTTCTCGCTTAACTTCTTCGTAATAATCTCACGCGATGATACGTGCCGATGATCTCGCGTGAGTTTCGAATACAACACGTCGGCGTTCTAGTATACTAAACGAAAAGAAAGAAAAAAAGAAAAAATTAAAAAAAATCATTTTAAGTAATAATAATTATTAAATGAAAAAAAAAAGAAGGTAACGATTAAAGATGAAATTATTAAAATTAATTGCTAAAAAAAGAAAAAAAAAAACGATGAAACCGATGTATACCGAAAGACTCAGGTTTGAGAATTAAATGAAATGCAAAGAAAAAAAAAAAAAAAAAGAAAAAATTAATAAACAATGTGAAAGAAATAAGATGAAATTAATATGAAATGATTTTTTTAAATAGGATATTACATTTTACAATTCCTGATTGTAATAATTGGAGTTATTCCTCGAATTTGTTTATAAATCACGTCAACGCGTGCGCGCCTAACTTCCGTGGCTCCTCTTCGTCTTATTCGAAATTACACTGTGACATGAAAATAACTTTGAAACATGCATTAGACTCATACATACGTAACACATGTAATCAGATCCATAAATACATTCATAGATACACACATAAGCATACATGAGGCACTAACATACATAACAAACAACCAATAGCGTACGGAGGATCATCGATCGTACGATTTTTTATCGAACAGATAACGAAACGAAAAAAACGAGTAGCCCAATCAACGTGTTGCTTCTTCTCGTTTCGTATTTTTAACAAAAAACAAAAAAAAAAAAAACAAAAAAAAATCCAAAACTAATTCGAAACTTCATGCTAAGGAAGTTTCACGCAAATGATAAAAAGTTGGAGACGTTTGACCGAAGGAAAAAAAAAATAAGGGAGAAAATAATAGTAATTATAATAATAATAATATTAATAATAATAATAATGATAATGCTAATGATAATGATAATGATAACAAAAAAAAACCTACAAACAAAAATGGTATACGAGTTTAAATAAAAACAGGAAATAATAAAGTAAAGAAAAAAAAATAATAAAAATAAAAAAAGAGAGAAAAAGTAAACAAATAGAATATATTCGAAGTTTAGCGCTTTGTGAAATGATGCGATGACCGGTCGTATATAAGAATTTTTTAAACATTACGAAAGAAAAAAAAATTACGTATAAAAGAAAATGTAACGAAGTTTTAATTATAAATGATTAAAGAAAAAAAAAAATTAATTAAAAGATACACGTGTCTTTTTAAAACACGAGGACCAAGATTTTTATTAGTCTCGATTGGATCCAACAACACGTTGTTCCCTTTATGTGAAAAATGAGACGATGAGATTAAGATGGAGAAATATATTATATATGTATACAGAAAATGAAAAAGAGAGAGAGAGAGAGAGAAAGAGAGAGAGAAATACGACCGGTCACGCATAATTTCAATTTAACGCGTTTTAAAACAAATGTAATCGTATTTTAAAGACTTATCGAGA